TCACAGACATAGAGGGCTCATTAACAAGAAAGAGAGCTGTATTTACACTACTATTTACCCTTTTAGTAATTATAGATGGCAACACCTAAATTTTGTTGGCATTTAGTTTCAAGGGCAATCTTAGGTTTAGATTCTTTTTCATCCCTTCCCGTCCCAGCACAGGAGTTACTTGCTCACTACTCACCTTTTTATTCAGTGTATTCCATCGAGTATTGATCTCCTCCATGTCATGCTCTAAACCCTGCACATCACAGTTTTTTCCTGCACTCTGAATTAATCCCTGGCCAAGTCCATTCACCTGCTGCAATTTCACCTGAAGAGGATCCACTTGTTCTTTCTGAAACATCTGGATAATTGCAAAGCAAAGTAGATTTACTCTAGAGGACATTAAGCCTTCTACAATGCGGTATCTGGTCATTCTCAAGAGAGTTATATAACTTAATGAAGGAAGGCAAGTGACAAAGAGGAAACTGTAAACATCAGAACAGTGAGGTACCAAGACACATGGGTTCATGTTTCAGTTACATATTTTCCTGTGTATCCTCTTGGTAACATCCACCCAGAAGCAGTTATTGTACTACTTAGGTCTTTAGCCCAGTGACTCAGTATCTTCTTTCAAATTGGTTGCTTAATTTTTAATGCTAAAAGCTATAGGGAATAGTGAAGTATTAGTCATAAAATAACTATGAATCGTGAAAGGGAAAATGCTATCAAATTACAAGTACTTAAGATCTTGGAAAAATGCCGTGGAGAATAGTTAGTTGCTTGACCACTGACAACAGGCAATGTACTTTTCTGGCTACGATGAATAACTCAATCAGTTAAAACAAATCAACAGTGTAAAAAATGCAATGCTCATAGCTTAATACCCCTGTGGCCATTTAACTTCATTCTGTTTCAGGGCCACAGACCACATTCAATCATCTTGAAACAGTACTCCCCTGTCTACAAAAGAAATGCTCCTGACAACTCTGACACGTATGCTGAGTAAGACATAGGAATATAAAATACTTTAAAAAGATGATACCACGGATTATGTCCACCAGGAAACAAAAGAATTTTAAAAACAGTGGGAATAAGTATAGTAAGCAATATGCCTGTTTTTCTCTACTGCAGTTAAAACAGACATTTCTAGATGCAACAGTCAGACCAAACAAATGGTACTTTTGAAAACTGGGTGTAAGCCACCAAGCCTATATAGTCTCAGCACTCAGGAGGAGACAGACAGATCAGGAAGCTCCGATCATCATCAGAAACATTACACTGAGAACCTGTGGCCTTTCTGGGGTACATGAGGCCCTATCTCAAAATCAAAAACCAAAACAAAGACACGCCAAACTTTCTTAAGGGAAAGAATGAGAAATTAATTCCTAAGAACTGGATTCTCTCAATTATTAGAGCAAAAAATTAGCCATATTTTACCAGCCTTGCTATATATACTTTCTTTTTCCTCTCCCCCACTTCCACACAAAGAGGAGGACAAAATAAACATAAAAAAGAACTGAATATTTAAGCAAGACCAATTTTATTCTACAACAGACCATATATCACACTAAGGTTAAGAATCTAATTCCAAAGGAAGAGGGAAAAGCCCGGTAAAAACTGAAAAAGGTCATGAAGGAAATCACCAGTACACTTCACTTTACACTACAACTTGATCATATTGTATTTTGTTAGGCAAACTACAAAGAATTCAGATTCAACAAAATATAGTTCTCAGAAAACAAACAAACAAAAAACCACCCAAGTGCCACATAGCTCTGTTCTGTAACACTAAAGATACTATTCTGAAGACAAACCAAGGAGTGAGGATGGGGGCAGATGAAGGATATTATGAGGACACAGGGCTCTGGAATTATTAATATTGGTGAGGATTAGAAATGGAGGGACAAGTTAGACAAGAGGCAAGGCAGGTGGATCTCTGAGTTTGAAGCCAGTCTGGTCTACAAAGTGAGTTCCAAGACAGCCAAAGCTGTAGTACAGAGAAACCCTGTCTGGAAAAAAATAACAACAACACAAACAAAACAGAAACTGAGGGACAAGGTGGAGAAGTCCAGGAAGACAGAGGGATGGTATTAAGCCTACACTGAAGGGCTCTTTTTACTCTATCAAATCAAATATATTCAAGCTATTTTTTTAAAGATCCGTTTTTATTAGTGTGTATGTGAGCATTGGTGGGGCTGTAGTTACTTTTATCTTTGGTAGTACTGCATTTCCATTTGAATCCTGGCTGATCTTTTTTCCTTTTTTTTCCTTTATGTTTCTGTTCTCTTTCTCTTCTTCTTTATCTCTGAATGGAGAATGTTAGTCAAAAGTTTTCTTTAAAATTCTTGTTTATTTGAGACAAGCTTTACTATATAGCTCAGGCTAGCCTAGAACTCACAATCCTCCTGATTGCTAGGCTAATTTGTAGGTTTACATCAACATGCCTGGCTTTCTCTTTTCTTTTAGTGTCCTGACCAGGCAATTTAATCTATCTCTATCACTTTAATTGGTTACTGATAAATACTTATGGTTCTCAATTTAAATCTCTCTTCTAAGCTTCAAATCCGCTTTCTTACTATCTATTTATATACCAAACACTTACAGGTACCTTGAACTAATGGTTCCAATCAAACAGTATCTCTCTCTCACTTCCCTATCCCTTCAAATGTATTCCTTCCTAAGTCAAATCCTACCATTTGTTCTTGAAAGCAGTAATTTACTACTGTCCAGTTTGTATTTAACTGTATAAACCAGATTTTATGTTATCCTGGGTAACTGACACACCTCCAATATAAAATCTATCAACAGGTCTTAATTCTACTTGCAAAGTACTTCTTGATTCTATCTAATTGTCTCCAAATCCTCCTTGACAGTTTATAATTATATATTTACAAGAGCCATTTTTTGTGCTCCATATCTGCCTCCCATATGCTACTATAAGGCCTACATGGGCAGGCACTGTGCCAGGTCCATTCACTGCAAGAGGCTAGACTCTGGCAAAAAGTTGATGCTCAGTAATTATTTATTTCTTGAATGAATGACTCCTTGTATAGAAATTGCTTAAGGGAAAGCAAACAAACCCATGACAGATCTGCCTATCAGCTGGACATTCAAACACTGAACTGGTGTTGTGATGATGCCCAATTTTTGCTTAAAAAGACTTCCTCGGCCAATTTTAAGTTTATAAAAGCCCTACTTTGTATAAAAGGCTGCCCCCTCTTCCTCTGAACTTTTGACTTATGTAACACTGTGGGAACCTATAGGTAGGGGGTTTAAGTAACAAGGGACTGTTTTCAGTGGCCTGAGATACCAATACAGAAATAATGAATAAACTAATATTTTGCTTCTTTTAACCAAGCTCTTGTCAGTTCCTATTACAAAGCTTATATATTCAAAGAGAACAGAACCGTTCTACTTTTAGCTAGGTATACATGTGGGCATTTGCACATACATAAAACACACAAGCTCTGAAGCTGTTTACTTGAAACCAAATTCAACTTGTTGAGTTCTAAGTATCTGCATAGAAAACAGGTTCCTTTGCCTCTAAAAATCTCCTAAAAGCCAAGTATGGTGATTCACATCTGCAATATCAGCACTCAGGAGGCTGAGGCAGAAGGACTCCACCAGTCTGAGGTCAGCCTGTGCTTACATAGTGAATTTCAGGCACTTACCAAACCCACACTTACCAAACAAAACAACTCTCTAAAAATGTAAAAACTGGAATTCATACAACCTTGGGAAAAACACCTTTCCATTTCCTGCAATGTTACAGATGGACCTGGGACTGTGTGCATGGCAAGCAAGTATTCTACCAATCAGACACATGTCCAGCTCTGAGAAACTTCTTTTAAAATCCAACTAATAATTATTTCAGTAGTATGTTTCTTCCTCTTCCCTCCCCATCCTCATTTATAGCTCAGGCTGCCCCATAATTATGTAGCAGGCTGGCCTCAAATATCCCATGCCCAATGACCCACGTGCTCCAATTGTAGGCATGCATTACAATGCCTGGCTTCAATAATCACTTTCAAAATAGCCAGGTGTGGCGGTTCATAACTTTAATCCCAGAGCTTTAATTACAAAGGCAGAGGCAGGGAGATCTCCATGACTAGCCTGTCTACATAGTAAGTTCCAGGCCAACTAGAACTACACAAGGGACACTGCCTCAAATAACCCCACTTAAGGAATGAGTGGTGGGCAGGAGGCAGAGGCAGAGGCAGGCGGATCTCTGAGTTTGAGACCAGCCTGGTCTACCGAGCGAGTTCTAGGACAGGCTCCAAAACAATACAAAGAAAAGCCAAAAAGAAAGAAAGGAAGAAAAAAATAAAGAATGAATAGTGGGATGGCACCATTTCCTTCTCCTGTTCCTGGAAGGGTTCCAGAGACCTGCACTGAGGCTGAGGATTTCTCTGAATTCCTCTTTATGCAGATCAGATTGGTTCTTTATACATTCATCCCTCTCCACTGATTGCTGCTGTAGGTTTTATACCAGAAGTATTTCATATCTCAAGAGTACAAGGAACTATTCTATCACTGACCTGCTATTCGAACTTGAGAGGGGACTGCAATCTCAGGATCAATCCTACAACCCATAGAGCATAACAGATTCTAACTTGACAGGAAGCTATATCACAAGATAACTGTGGGACCCAAAGGGAAATAACCACCACCCAACTAAACAGGGGGATTTGTTTGCAGCTGGGAGGCAGAGGCAGGCACTTTATCCTTACAATCCTCTCAGGGTTCTACCTTACCAAGTGAGGAATCTTGAGTGAGAAGACTCAGATCACCCAATCTCCCCAGAGTGCTTCAGAAGCACTCAGGTCTCACTCAAAGTTCAGTGTAATTCGGCCTCAATGTATGCATCAGGAAGAAACATGAACTCTTTTGATTTTAGGAAACAGACTTGCTATATTTTTTCTTTCTTTTTAAAAAAAATTTTTTGCTATATTTTTTCAAAGGAGGAATCACACTTTCTTGTTATTAATCTTTTTTAAAAAGTAAAACGTCTATGTACAAAAGTGTTACTTTGGGCTCCAACATATGTAAGTAAAAAATGAATAAAAATTTTATGCCAGAGAAAATTAAGATACATTTTCCCTCTAAACTCAATAGAAAATCTAAAAACTACAAGTCCAGGGGCACAGAATTAACAAGAGGAGGACTTATGCTGTCACTAGTTACCAACAAGTGAGAAAACCTGCAATTCTCACTTACTCTATAGGCCCTTCCTGCCAATGAAATGAACAGCAATTACCTCATGTGAATTTAATCCATCAGTTGTAGCCAGAGGCACTTTCCCATGTAGCACTGGGCCAGGCACCTCTTTTATTTCAAATGCTGAAGAATCAAGGTCCTCCTGAATCCACATTCCAGAGGAGGAAGCATCTTCAAAAACAGGAGTTTCTTCTGCAGTGGGCACTGAATCAGTGTGGGTAGTTCCTCCCAGGAAGGGTTCACCAGGAGAGACCATTTCCTCCACAGCAAGCACTGCATTAGCTGGAGCGACATACCATGCTGGGAGGGACACATGAACTGCTTGACTATCATGCTTCTCTGGGGTAGGTTCTTCAAGAACTGGGACAGCAGACTCCTCTGGTGTAGACCGTGCAAGAGAAGCAGTGCCAGACTCCTCTGCAGCAGACACTACAACTGTTGTAGCATCGGGCTTCTCGGAGGCGAGCCCTTGAGTGTCAGGCTCCTCTGAGGTACCGTCCTCATCTCTGATGGGCACTGTAACAGTCTCCACAGGAGGTACTGCATCAGATGAGGCGGCAGCCTGCTCTGGGGCTGATAATGCAGTAGCTGTAACATCCTCCTCTGAGATGACCACTGAAGCAACTAGGATATCCTCTTTGGGGAAAGACACGAATGGAGCAGCTACAGCAGTTTCCTCTGAGGCAGAGGAGTTGGCAGCAGGCTCCTTCAGGGCAGGCACTGCTATAGCTGGGATATCTCCTGGCACGGGCACTACAGCATCCAGGGCATCGTCTATGGTGGGTACTACAGGAGTTGAGGCATGCCCCTGTTGGCTGGATACCCATTCCTCTAAACCTGGTATAGTGTTACTGGCTTTGGTGATTTGTTCTTCGGGAAAGATGTTCAGTGTTAAATCTAAATCTCTCATTTCCACATCCCCTTCCTGTGATAATGCCATACTCAGCTCAGGTTCTCTATCATTCATGGTTTTTGCTCCAGCTCGAAGTCTCAGTTCTCTGTCCAGCAGATCCTCTGACTCTGGAGACTTCAAATGTACTGGAGATCCATTGTCTAAGAGAGTCACTTGACAATCCAGCTCTTTTGTTTCACCATCCTTATCACAAACTTTCTCCATGGACAACTCACAAGGGTCTACATTTCCCAATGATGTCGGATTGTTAAATTCTGGACTATTTATAGTTCCCTTTGCACTTTCTAAATGACTCTCATCTGTTAATACATTTGAATCAGAGGATGACACCTTTACTTCAGGTCCTGAGGTAACATTTTGTTCATAATTAAAAGCAAAACCAAGAGGCATCTTTTCCATCTCTACCTCTACATTCCCCTTAGTCTGACTGCAGATTACCTGGGACAAATTGCCATTTTCTTTGGCTAGTTCAGAAGGAGTAATGACTGGAAGTTTTTCTTCACAAGAGGCTCTGGGATTAGAGTTCAGCAATCCTCCTATGTCCAGCTCCCCAGGCTCCAGACCCAGAGACTTAAATTCCCCACCAATCTTGGGGCTAAAAGGCACTTTTTCACACTCCTTGCTAACAGTGGAAGTATCCCTCCTGCTATTAGGGTGAGGACTAAGTTCAACAGCTTTAGGCACCTGAGAAGAATCCAGGGCATTGCAATATTCACCATCCAATCCGGTATCATGGTCCTTTATCCTTACACTTACAAGACCCACATGCTGTTCCTTTTCTAAGGCAGCTTCTGGATAATGACTAATTAAAAGAGAATCTTCTGCATCTTGGGCTGAGGCCAACTCTTCAGAAGAGGCTTGACTCAGCAGCTCAACTGAAGAAGTTACTCCTTCCTCAAATAAACATTCCTTCTCAAGTTCAAGAAACATTTGCACAGAATCTGTGTCAGAGAGCTGCTCAGCTTCAGTGGGGCCCTGGAACCCTGAGATCAGACTCTCTAAGCCCTGAGCAGTTCTGTTTTGCACCTCACTGATAACTTCACCTGCAGACACACAGGTGTAGTCAGGGGGTGCACCCTTGGGAACAGAAACAGGTAGAACAGAAGCAGGTTGATCCCTCATTGGCTGCAGATCACCAGAACAGCAAATCTGATGAAGGGCTAGGTGGTCAGAAGTCCCCAAGAGAGATGAGCAATCGGATCTATCCTGTACCACTGTTACTGTGTTTGCTTGTTCCCCTTCTTCAAAAATACCTGTTAAGCTCGTCTTCTCATTTGCAACTAGAAGACTCTCTCTTCTCTCTGACAATTTCTCTTCCTCCCACTCCTCCTCAGCCTCCATCATGATCCATCGCTCATCCTCTTCAAATTTTAACTCAGACTCTGTCTTTTCTCTCAAGCTAGGTGTTATAAGAATATGTAATTCTGGATCCAATAGCTCTTCACTCAGGCAAGGAGAGAGAGGTGGTAGTTCCACAGTGCATGCACTGTCCCCAAGGGGGTGCTGCTTCTCACTGAAGCCTCCCTTAGAAGTTTTCATGGCCCTAGGCCAGGTTGCACTTGAAAATCTGTGTTCCTGCATTTCATCTGAGTTACCACTTGCTGCTGCAGCTTCTGACTCTAGAGACTGGAATTCATGGGGAGAGCTCTCACTGTGCTGTTGGAATCTGAAGTCTTGGCAGTCTCTCAAGTTTTTTACATCTTGCACTTCTGGAATATCTACAGATTTAGACATGTGCTCCAAAGTTACAGACTCAGACTGAGGTTCCCTGTGGTCAAAGTGACCAGAACTTTCTGTCAATGCAGAACTGGATTCCTTTTTCTCTTGCAAGGAAGTATTTGAAGCACCAGCTTCCGAGACTTCACTGAGAGAAGCCTCCATCCTCTCTGCAAATTCTGGGAAGTTGGGTGGCATGAAGGACTTCCACGATCTCCTGTTAATGTTATCTTTGCGCTCTGCATTTGGCCGACGTCTGGGTGGCACAGGTGCTGACTTTTGCACATCACTGCTTAGCTTCAATGCATCAAATATTATTCTCTCATCCAGTTTTTTGCCTTCTGGCACTCTAGATTCAAAAACATTAGATGACGCTCCTAATGTACCATTGCTGGATATGGTACTTCCTTCCATCTTCTCCATGGTGCTTTTTGAAGTCTGATTAAGTTTTGACCCCTGGTCAATCTGTTCATTTATTCTCATTGTATCATATATAGACCGCTGTGGAACATAGCAATCTTCTATATAGCCATCCTCCTCTTCCCCTTTCCCCAGGCAGGTGGGGTTCCGCCTTAAACAGTCTGGCCTGCTAAGTGGCTTACCCATACTTTTTCAATAAAGATGAGCCATCAATCTTTCAAAAGTTTCCCCTCCACAGGTTCTCTTACATGCTTATACTCCAAACCACCAATTGCATCTGCCTTCCAGAAAGATCTGGAAGTTCCAATTCGAAACCATTTTGGGAGAAACTCTAAGACAAACAGGTTTTTCCTCACAGGCTAGAAGCCTCATAATTGCAGGCAGACAAATGATATTATTTGATCAACAAGCATAAAGTAATTACTTGTATGGCTTCTGGTTTTACTTTTCTAAAGAGCACTGCCTTTTCAAATTCAGTCAGCAAAAATCATTTGTTATTGACAAGTCTTATTCGATATCTAGTTTCACTCAATTCTCACCGAAGCTGAGTTGGAAGCAGAAAATTTAAACCAATTATGTCCTTTAATAACAATGGCACACCCTTGCTAGCCTTCAAGTATGGTCCAAGCTCCTAAGAATTCCTTTCATTTTATCCTGTGTTCAACCCTGAAGAGTCCAGCTGGTCTGAATTAGCCATTCGTCCTCTCTAGTAGGGGTGTTTGCATTTGAACAGGGCTGGTCAGCGGATATTCCTGCAACTTTAAACACAGGAAGTCCTTCATTCGGGGCCGGCTTGGGGCTTCCTGTCTCCAAAACATCATGGCATTGTTGTGGCTTCCAAGCCAACACTGTATCGTGGCTGCAAAACAAGGCGAGCGGAGGCCCTCGCTGGGCCTTTCAGAAGGCGGGCAGGCTGCGGCAGCGGCCAAGAGGGCTGTCTGAAGGACTCATTCAGCACCGCCCGCAAACCCGCGCCATGCCTCGTACCCGGAGGGCCAGGGTCGCCTCACCGCAGCCTTGCAGGTGGCTCCCGGACGCGCTGGCCTCCGGTCTCGCACTCAGGAAGTTAGTTTGTCCCTCGGGCAGCAGAGTCCCATGTCCTGTGGGCGCCGCCTCCTAGGCCGCCGCAAGTCCCGGGCCCCCAGCCGCCTCTTCGTGGGCTGCATGACAAGCAGTCGCCTTTTTTTCCACCACGCCGCCGGCGGCCTTGCGGCCGTCCTCCCCACCCGCAGCTGTCACGGTCCCGGCATGCAAACTTCTAGCTGGGAACAAAAGGCTTCGCTCCGGCCACACGAGGGGGGCGAGCCCGCCTCACTCACGCCGTGCGGCCCGCTCACCCGCTGCTGGCTGGAACTGCTCGGGTGGCGGGCAGCTCTCCTCCCCCTTCCAGCGCCGCCACTGCCACCGCCCCGCCCGGGCAGCCCCCTTGGAAGCCCGGGAGCGCGCGTCGCGGACAGCCAGGGAGGAGGACGGGGGCGGGGCCAATAGGGAGCCCCGTCGGGAGGGAAGGGGGCGGAGGCAAGGATTGGAAGCTGAGGCGCCGAGGGAGGGGCTTCTCGGGGTTGGGGCAAGGGACCCCAGAACATCCCTCACCCCCACCCCTCAGCTCACTCCCTCCATACCCGCGGGCGTAGAAGAGCGCCCGCCCGCGAGGGTGAGCAGAAGGAGCAGTTCTGGTCACGCCGGGCAAATCCCCTGACAAAGGAAAGCCCCGCCCTCCTAGCGCTCACCCCCCCACCCCACCCCCGTTTCTTTCCAACCCGCGGGATCCGAGCCCAGCCCAAGGGCGAACTCAGAAGGGGCGCCCCCGCCTCCCCCACTGCCAGCCGATTGTGGCTAGGGCCACTCGGGGCCCCATCTGCCAGTAGAGACGCACGGACTAGGGTGGGCGGTCTGCACTACCCTAGGCTCCAACGGTAGTCCCTGTGTTTTTCCAATGTCACCTCTGGAACTGACCAAAGAAGAGTCAAGTCTTAAACACTGTCTTTTCTTGGTAGCCCATGGAATTAAGTTAGACTTAGAAACTAAGTTATTGGATAAACTCTAGGCACAGTTTCCCTTCTCAAGTATGTTAGATTTTGGCCCATTGCCCCACCTGGACTTCTACCCAGACTTCAGCGGTCTTAATGACTGGAAAATGGGGTTCGGGTTGGGGTACACTAGCAGGAACAGCTCATGCCCAACACTTGGACTGTTTTTTTTTTTTTTATTGCTGTACATGTCTAAGGAAACCTGAGCCTCCTTGGAGCTAGATGTGTATGAGTCCATATTTCAAGTCTGAGAGAGAGAGAGAGGAAGGGAGGGAGAGAGAGAGAGGGAGAGAGAGAGAGAGAGAGAGAGAGAGAGAGAGAGAGAGAGAGAGAGAGAGAGAGAGAGAGAGAGAGAGAGAATATTAAAGAAACGTGTTATACAACCCAACAAAACAGGGTTTTGGCTTTTAGAAAAACTATAGTGGCTGTTAAAGAACAAAGCAACCCAGAAGACTGCCTGCCAGAGGCAGCTCGCATCTCTGTAAGGTGCAATACTTTCCTCCTTTGTGATGGCCCCTCTGATTTCATGAAGGAAAAAAGAAAGTCCACATTCCTGTTGGCCCCTGTGATCAATATAGATAATAAAACTTATGAAAAAGTTATTTTCACCCTCCACACAAACAGTAAATAAAACCAGTCATTGGTGTGTGGAGACCCAGCAGTGAAGCCTGGAGTTAAGCCTTAGACTAATTTGAGGAGCCAGCAATTCCCTTGGCAAAAATGAGGTGCAGGCTGAAGCCCATGGTTAGACTAGGCAAGTAAAAGACAACTTTGCCTGGTAAAATGTTTCACACTTCATTTCTTACTTCAAAAGAAGCTGATCAATTCTACCCACTCAAGTACAAGGACTCTTTCCATGTGTAAGTGGAAGGGAGTACTGGAATGTTCTAGATTGTATTGTTTTATTCAAGATACCCTATTCCTTACATTTACAACTTTTAATAGAGCTGTCTAGAATCCTGTAACCTCCTGGTCCAATTGGGCAAGACACTAGAACACTCTTCTATAAACACTGAGTGAAAAGAATCAAGATACTTGGTCTAGAGCAAGTTTTGGGGGTATGAGCAACATTAAGAATCTGAGGAGATGGGACGTGGGAGGAGGCAAATTTGTTCTGAATGTCTCCTTAAACTGGCACACCAAGATCCAAGGGCAGATTTCAAACCGTCAGTTTTCTCACAGTTATTCAAAGAATAAGGTGTCTCCTAAAAGTGGGACTTTTCTGATCCCAAAGGAGTATGAGCAGAAATCTAAGCAGTCATGTGCAATCTCAGGCAACACTCACAAATCTTAGTCTGTTCAGGATGAACCTTAAAGTTCTTTGAACCCCTGGCACACTGTGACCCAAAGGGCAGATCAGCTCACAGACCTGATTCTTCACAATTCATGGAATTCAGGTTTTAATTTTGTTGTAATTATTTAATATAACTAGAAAACCCCAAAGAGGACAGGATTAATTTCACTAGCGAGTCTTCCTAGCCAAACACATTCACCAAGTGTTCAGATATCATAACAGACTGTGTAGCATGCCAGGGCCCCTCTGGTTAGAAGAATCTGAGGAATTCTGGCTCTGGACTTAAGGGTGGGTGGTTATCCTATTATAAAGAATGATCTTGATGTGGAATCACAGCCTTCGCAGCGAGAAATTCCTTTCCTGTTTCCTCACCAAGTTAGGTGCCAATCAAGCCAGTCTTTTTCTAATTAACACCTATCTACCTTGTTTTACTCTCATAAAAGTTAAGATAAATAAAGATAACAATCTAGCAACTCAGGGTCAGACTCAGATTACCTATCAGTTTTAGTCATACTTTAATTAAAATGTTAAAATACTGCAGAGACTTCCTAAAAGTTTAAGCAGACCCTCTAGAAAAGATTCCACAGGGCATGATGGTATGTACCTTTAACTCCAGTCCTCCCATTCAGGAAGCAGAAGCAGATCTCTCACAGTTGGAGGCCATCCTGATCTTCAGTGAGGACCACACACACACACACACACACACACACACACACACACACACACACACACACACACACACACACACACACACACACACACACACACACTAGACTCACCCAGTCCAATTGTCCCACCCCTTCAATAAACAAAAACAAGGAAACAAAAAACCCCCAAAATAGCCACCAAAATGCCTCCTAATTTTGCTCATTTTTATCATTGGTATCTGTTAGCATGAGGAAGGCCTCTTTCTTTTACATCTTATTTTATCTGTTCATAAGTTTCTCTTTAGTTTTGGTATGTGGAATTCCGCCAGTAGCCATCTGACTGAAATACCTGATTCAGTTTTCACCCTCTCATTGCCCTGATAGCTCTAACACAAAAAGCATCCATACACTCACATGCCCTGCTAAACTTTTGAGGGAGAAACAAACAGAGAGCTCCAGAGTACCTCTTCAGATGCTTTCCCCACCCTGAGACCACCAATGGATGTGTTTAAGCCACATTTCAAATTAGCTTCCCATTAGTTGACTACAGAGCTCAAAGAATTCCCTACACATTTTGCAATTCTTTTTTTTTGTTTGTTTGTTTGTTTTTCGAGACAGGGTTTCTCTGTGGCTTTGGAGGCTGGCTGTCCTGGAACTAGCTCTTGTAGACCAGGCTGACCTCGAACTCACAGAGATCCGCCTGCCTCTGCCTCCCGAGTGTTGGGATTAAAGGCGTGAGCCATCAACGCCCGGCTACATTTTGCAATTCTTAAGAACAGAATTGGTGTTAGATTTTCCTTCTGTGAACTTAGAAGAACAATGTTGACCCTTCTAGTTTCTTCCTGCTGTCTTCCTAATTAAAGTGGGCTGAGTGGAATCCTCTCACACACTCATACCAGCTCCTCTCAAGGTTTGGATCTGACATTGTCTTTGTCTGCTCCAAACTGAACTGCCAGCTTACCAGGACAATCCAGAGACTGCCACATTTATCACAGCTCAGTGAATAAAATGCCTTCGCATCCACCTGACAGGGGCTCGTTCTGTCTCTCAGAGGATACTGAACAGAAGTGGATATAGGGGACTGGTTGGATCTTGGGGATTTTAAATCTACAAAATTTCTTTCATCTCAGCATATCTAGACTACATGAGCATTATTCAGAAGCAAGGGGAAACTCCACAGTATTAAGTCTGTACCCGTTGGGCATCAGTAACAACCATGTTTTGTGTTTTTGTTATTGTAAAGATAGCACATTCTGTGTGGCACAGAGATCAACAGAATATGGTGTGAAATTTTTTTCTTGTCTTAAATGGAAAACCAAAGGCTTTGAAAATATTTGAGTTCTTGTGTATTTCTGAATGCTTAAGAAAACTTTCCACACACTCTACAGGACTCCCATAACCCTTGCTTGTAGGGTGTCCAAAAGGCAGTGTATTGATTCCTTGTTTAGATTGATAGTTATCAAGAAAGAAATGACAACAAAAATGGGGAGGGTTTACAAGTTAGAAAGGCCTGGCAGAGGGCAGGAGACAGGAAGGCAAGAGGAATCAGAGAAGGCTTCTTGGAGGGACCAAACAAAACAAAAAGAATTAGCTCTGTGTATCAGGCTGGCCTTGAACTCACAGAGATCTGCCTGCCTCTTTCACCTGAGTGCTGGGATTAAAGGCGTGTGCCACTACCTCTGGGCCATTTTCTTCTTAAGTCAGGTGTTTGCTGATTTAAGCAGTAACCCTAGGCTGCTTCTATCTGTTGACAATCTTTCTGCCTCATCTTCAAGTGGGATTATAGTATGCACCACCATGCCCAGCAAAAATAAGTTCCCAAAGAACCAAATTTTCATTCAGCATGCCTTAACTAGAGGCTGTGTAAGAATGTCAAAATGGAAAGAAGTCTGTGCCAAGGGCATATATGCTTTATTCAGAAAAGCATTACCACAAGATTTAGCTAACTGTAAATCAGGTGGAGTAGCTCATGGCTGAGACAGGAGTAACATAATTTGAGGTTAGGACGGGCTACAGAGTAAGACCTTGTCTCAAGAAAGAAAAGAAAATACTTAACAGAAACGTGTGTGGGACACAGTACTCATTCAGCTGACATCTGTCTCTTTTTGCCTTACTTGAAAATCCAAATCCTTAACTTTTGAACCTTGAAGTGGTAAATATACTTGTCTTAAAGAAAAAGGAAGAAAGGGACGAAGCTAGTACAAATGAAGTAAGAGACTGAAAAAAATGAGTCAGATTTGGACTCACTAACTCAGTAGAAAGTAGAGGTTAGAGAGAAAATAAAGATAATGCTGTACTATTACTCTGGGGTTACCAAGGGCATGGAAGAACTCACAAAGCAGTATAGGGAAGAAGGTATTTGATTCATGTTGTTTAGAGTGTTCAAAGACAACTCATGTGGAGCTGGTCTACAACAGCCCCTCATACAGGAGATTCCACTTTGAGGTAGAGATATAGATTTAGAAACCTTTCACCATGGAACAGTGTCGGGCTGGCTGCCTCACCATGGCCGAATATAAGGAAAGAAGGTAGATGACAGAACTCCAGAAGACATATATTTGGGGAAGACAAATCCAAAAGAAAGCAGATCATTCTTAAGGGAGGAGGAAAGAACAACAGGAATGTAAGTAGATGCCAGGCATGGTAGCACACACCTGTAATCTCAGAACTCATGAGGTGAGGCAAGACCTCCAAGAGTTTGAGGCC